ATGACGACCCCCATAAATAAAAAACGGCCACGATATACATGTATAATTATGCGAATACGGGACAATAACAACCCCCCCTAAAACACTGATACAGTGTAACGTGGAACTCGCGGCTCAACACGTAAACAAACAAAAATGTTCGCAGTGCGTATATGTAAAAGGGGCATACCTATCTTGTGGTCACTATCTTCCTCACCATTATACCTGACTTAAAGAGAGTAAAGTCTTATTCCACATATAGCATTTTTCTCCCGTGAATATGCTCATTGCTCCCATTACGGCGTTAAAACGGCGACATGGCGACCATGAGCCCGTGCTGAAATTGTGAAAAATATTTGACCCCTTTAGTCAACATTCATATCGTACAGCATGTATCTAAAACTCGTTCTTATCCGTTCCTCTCGCACGTTCCTCATGTTGTATTTGTAGTATTGTGCATATGTATACTTCATTTAATTTATATGTACATACCTAGGTAAGAATAGTATATTTCGTACGCAATTGATTTTACCAGTATTCATCATTAACCGATGAAGAAAAGTATTACGCGCATAATCTATACACCTACATGTGGAAGAAGAGAAAATAGTATTTCTGTAGTTCATACATATAAAAACGCAACATATCGCCCTTTCTAGCATTTTCTAAAGGCAAAAGAAGAAACAGAATGATGTTACTTGTGAAACTCTCTATATGTATTTGTGCCCTGTGCTTATGGCAAATTGCTGACGCTGTATGATAATAACAATTGTATTTTTTTGGGAGTTACCACACATTTGTTGTGATAAGCTCTTAACGTCTTCATAGCAACTATATACCTATCACCCGTCCACTCAGTTGCACATTCTACATCATTCTATATACACCATAACAAACCCATGTATTCCCCGTTTTTTCTACATTTTAGGCAAGTACACTAGGTACATCATGGGGTAATTTAACAAGCCATTATGACACCACGGATGTAATTTCAACCCTATCTTTGAGTGATGGACCGGACTCAGCTAAACTGGATCCACTTAATTTTTACGACGATCATGCGACGGGTAGTCCGGTGAAGAACTCTTTGTTCGATGACATGCACAGAAATTTAAAATTCAAGGTCAAAGTAAAGAAGCCGCAGCACAAAAAGAAGACAATGCAGGATATAACTGCAGGGAGCAGTTGTAGAAGAAGTTTTAAGAAATGGACACGTTGCAAAATGGGGAGAAGAGCATGGATGAAGGTTATAGTAGTTTTCTCAGTGTTGTATACATTCTTTATATCGCCCGTAGCCCAAGCCATCTACACTTCGTTCTTTGGACTAAGCCCATTCATTTCTGCGGCGTTCATGGGCTCGTTTGGACCTTTAATACTGATTGTAATTATATATTTGTTCGTGCTAGTACGTTTCTGCCGCTCCAAGACAGGGAAATGTGTACTGGATAAAATTTAGAAGAATAATAAGAAGGAGGAAGCTCCCATAGAAACGTAAAAAAAGGAAGCAGAAGTGAATAATAAATCCAAGAAGACGTGATTATTCCGTGTTGTACTGCATAGTGAACAATAATATATTTTTTGCATACTTATTGGATTGACCTTTTTCATGATGTTGTATGTTCGCTCGTATTATTTGGCTTTTTGTTCCTTTGTAGCATGTATCCTATAGTTCCGCTTTCTACATTATAATGTTGTTTGTACATTTTGCTGAATATATATGTATAGTTTGTGCATGTGTGTTGTACTGTTTGTGCAAATTATGAGTTTTTTTCCTGTTATTATGGCTAGGATACACATTTGAAAGAACAAAGAAGAAGTCTTTCTATATTCTACATATATATATATATATAGAGAGAGAGAGAGAGAAGAATTATTTTATATCGTACATGTAACAAAAGGTACATTATGATAATGACACATACATTATATAAAGTGTGCTTGTAGAGTATATAGGACGTTCCTTCCCTATGCCTCCCTGTTCTTTGTTTTTTCTTTTTCGAACTTTTCACAAATTCTGGCGCTGTATTAATATCCCCCCTTTTTGCCACTATAAAATTGTACACGATAACGACAACCTACGTGACGTAGAATAAAGTATAAACGCCGAGAGATATGCATGACCCGTTACAGAGGCACCAACGGCGACAGCAGTTGTCACAAGGACAACGTATACACCCCTCCCCTTTTTGCTGGCTTCTATAAGGCTTCTCAAATGTTGCGTAATAAACTATCCACATATAATGGTCTTATATCCATACCTTCTGTACACTCTACACGCGTCCACCGTGTTCTGCAGTCCACACTCAACTACAGTCGTCATCGCCGCACACCTCATCTACACAGTGGCCGCCGCTACCGCTGCCGTCGTCGTCGCACACTCGGCAATTGTACGGTGGCCTCTTAACCGAAGTGCTGCACGAAGTGCGGCAGCGAACAGAAGCACTGTTCGCTGTGTGCTGCTGTTCAGCTGTGATGCGCACCGCTGTTGTGATGGTGTTGCCGTGCGTGTTGTTGTGTGCGTGGTTGTGTCGCCCGCGTGGGCGTTGTTGTCGTGGCGCCAGCCGTGCGCAGTCGTATGCGCCTCATGCGTATACGTATTGTTACCATGGGTACTCGTATCCCTACCGTTTGCAATTTCTTGGTCTATTTTTTCTTTCACTTTTTCAACTGCTTCCTTCGTTATTTTTATTATCTCCTGTTCCTGTTTTTCTACTTCTGGGAATTGTATTTTGTTTACTTTTCCACTTTTCTTATCAGCCTCCTTCTCTCGTTTATATGCCTGCCAGTCTTTACTACATTCCTGCTGCCTCTCCATTTCTGCTATTCTGCCCATTAGGTTCCCCTCATGTATTAACAACTGTACCATTTCTCCGTCTACTACTCTTACTACCGGATTCTGAATGTTATACCCACATTCTGTGCACCTTTGTTGTATAACAGGACCCGTGGTTCCAATTCCACCGTCCCCCCCCATTGCTTTGACCGTCTTCCAAGCATATTTTATACCTCTTTTCCACTGTGTCTTGTATTCACAAAACTTTCTTTCCAATATGTACCCAAATGCATTCGCTACCTCGGACCTCAGCGCCTCCTCCGTGGAGTCCACAGGTATACTTGTGCCTTCTGCAGTTTTCCCTGGTATGTTATCACCGTTCGCAAAGAATAATGCAAGTGTCATAAGCCTACATCTCATCATGTCGCCTACCGTCTGCTGGCTCCTGTAGTTGTCATCCATATCATTCCAACCTTTATTAGCACAATTCGCCCCTAAGGCATCCATGTACTCATCGTTCTTGTCCATGTACACCACAAATTGCTGCAGCACGTTCTTCATTTTTTCGAGCTGTTGCGCCTGTGTTATGTACATGGACAATAAAGATATACCTATGTTCACATGTCAACTCCACTCTTCTTTATAGATACACCATCGAACACATACATGTGAAAAACGCATGAGCAAGTGCCACGTCCACTCTTCATTTCTCTTTGTTGCCCTGGCGCGCGCGTACCTTTACTTTAACTTACACTATAATAACCCAGCACGTGTACTTTGCTCTTGGTCTCTTCCAGCATGCTCGTCCATGCACAATCGTGTCCTATTCCGGTCTTCCCCGTGTTGGTCTGCACCGGTGTCGCCGCTACTGGTTTTGCACGGTTGCTTCCTCCGTTCCCTGGGGGTGGCTCTGTTGTGGGGGGCTGCTGGGGAGGAGTTAGGTTCGGCCTTGATGGTGTCCTCGTCTGCAGTATGGGCCCCCGCCCGGTGCCCTTTACTGGGGGCGGGTCCCGGACTGATCCAGGTCCACCTGCTGCTATGCCCACTTCTCCTTGTGGTCCGTGTCTTGGTGTGGATGGTCTCCGTGGTGGAGGAGGAGGGGGTGGTCTTGCTGGTAATACTGGGGATGCCGGTGCTTGTGGTTGGGACGCCTCTCCTCCTCCGGCTGTTGTATCTGCCCTTCCAAGTTCTGTTGCTCCTGCTACAGCACCTGTTGTTGGTGGTGGAGTCTGTTGTATTTTTCTGTCTTCATTAGATGTTGCATCCTTCTTGTCTTCCTTCTTGTGGTGACTATGGTCCCCGTTCTGGTTGCTCGTTTCCTTCTCTGCAAGGAGGACAAAGCAAGATGAAAGGACGATAAAAACAAAACGGATGGATTAACAAACACAGGAAGGGGGATGAACTCGGTGGACTGCGTACTGGGTGCAGTGGGGTTGGATGATAGCAGTACATTTTATGTGTCACCGTCATCGCGGCGCGGCCGCCGGTGTGGCTCCCGTCGTGGTCGTTGCTCCATCCGTCGCCGCCGCTATATCCCACGCACCACTGTGATGCCCCGCGCACTCGGCAATTCTACGGTGGCCGCTCGCCGCTCAACCGAAGTGGGACAGCGAAGCAGGGCAGTGCCGTGCTGTTCCGCCGCGTGTTGTTGTTGTTGGTGCCGGCATCCATATTGAGCAATACGGTACGTAGCGGGTCGTATTAGTGCTTTCTCCCCTCGGTCGTTACCTGACGGTCCTGATGTGGCCGATGTGGGCGATTCTTCGCGGTCTACTTTGCCGGATTGTGCTGGTGTAGCGCTTGCGACAGAGTTCGATACTATGGCCTTACTGTCGTCATCGTCGACATCGCTACTGGAGACAGGTTCGATAGACTTCATGCATGCTCCATTTTCCTGCGCGCATTGCATTACTTCTTGTTGCACCTTCCGCACCAATAACTTGATGTCTGTCCCTAATTGCTTTATAACGTCCTTCTCGTGTGTGTGCAGTGGTATTTTGGCATCCATGGCATGTGCATCCCGTGTTGCGCCTACGAGTTCTTCTATCTTTTTCGTGCATTTGCTTTTCATTGCGTTGCCGCCAATTGTGCCTTGTATTGTTCCATTGTTCTGTAACCATGCCTTAATCATTTTCTGCATGTGGAAGTCCTTGATGTGTATATCTGCAAACACTCCCTGGCTGCACTTGCCCTTTCTAAGTAATCCAGACGAATATTCCTCCAGCTCGTGCACAATGTCCCATGCATAATCTATGCCCATTTGACTTCTGCATGGAGATGCCAGCAATATGTGCATAAATATATTTACTATGGCGCACCTTATATGTTCCTTCAACGGTTCATTCATAGGGTCTGTCTCTTCCGCGCTAGCGGACCCGGGGCGCCACCTGTTCATGAAAACTAATGCTCGTGACATGAGTGTGCACATCATTCTATCGCCCACTTTAGCTACGACCTTTACCCCTTTCCAGGTCCGACTTGGGTAACCCACGTTCAAACAATTAGCTGCATAGATGTCTAGGTCCTCATCTTCCATATATTTCACAAATTTTTCAAGTAGCGCTGTTATATCTGTCCATAAACTTTTCTGCAATTGGAGTAATGCGCGGGCATGTACATATATGTCATGGTCCTGTCTTCACGGAAGATACTCACGGCAGTCGCCGGTATGCTACATTGTGGACCACGGATGGTATGCTCACATGGGGCATATGCTGTCCCGTTCAAGTAACGTGAACATATGTATGCTGCAAACTACGTACCGTGCCTGTCGTGCACGTATGCAAATGCATATGTGTACGCTCCTGCTGCCTCCATAGGGCCCTCACAATAAATTACCGTATATCCTGTTGCATCCGGCCCTAGTCTGCGCTGCAATACATATTGTGCTAATAAAGCCCCTAACGTCGCATACGACATATTGTCCTTATCATGAATTAATAGTGTGCAAACGATGAAAGCATTATCTCTCAGATAACGGCTTGAATATAATGTAGGCACAATATGCTGTTACGTAGTATTCAGATTTGTAGCGAATGAAACATGTCTTCCTTGTAAGGTCCTTGCGGAAACATGTCCCATGAACAAACTGAGCCCTATCTGAATTTAATCACACATGCCGTAAATAGTGGGATGCGAAGAAGCAAAACAAGAAATGAAAAATGGGGAACAAAGCAAGGAAAAAAAAAAAAAGTTACACTACACTACCTTACACACACAACGCGTCATGAATAACACCCCTTGCCCCTTGCCTACACCGGTCTCCACTAAACGCCTTCACACACTGTGTCTCTGTGTGCGTACACCTAAAAACCGCAGTAATAACAACAACATCAATGTCTTCTGCCGTCGTTGCCGCGTCCTCGTACATGCATTGTCCTAGTAAGAAGGAGGAGATTATCTCCGAGCAACGGCGTTCGATGTAGTCGCCGAGTGTAGCACGGATTCGACGAAGTGGCCGAGTGTAAGAAGGAGAAATTGTCTCGTCGAGCAAACGCGGCCGGGTAAAGGATTATTTGAGTGAACGGATTCGACGAAGTAGCCGAGTGTAAGAAGGAGGATTGTCTCTCCGAGCACACGCGGCCGGGTAAAACGAGATTGCCTCCGAGTGTAACAAGGACGACAGATTGTCTCTCCGAGCAAACGCGGCCGAGTAACGCGGCCGGGTGTAAGAAGGAGGATATTGTCTCCGAGTACAGCGGTTCGAGTGAGGGATCCACCGAGGAAGCAGAGAGTGGGCGGGGTGCGTAGAAGGAACACACATATTTTGTGGGAGGGCGAACCACGGACGGAAGGCAGCAATGACGGAAGAAGACATTCATGTTGTTGTTACTGCCATTTTTATTGTATGCACAGAGACAGTGTGTGTGAAGGGGTTTAGTGGAGAAGGGAGTGGGGGGTGGTATTCATGACGCGATTTGTGTGTAGGTTGTGTAGTACTACTTTTTTTTTTTCCTTTTCTTCTTCTACAAGGAAGCACACGGACGGCACCACAGCGGAAGGCGCACGGCGGAAGGAAGAAAACAAGTAGTAGTTTGTGTATTTATCACGACTTCCAGAAGCGTGACGAAGCAGCGTTGACGGAAGAGGCGTGACTCGGAGAGGCGTTGACGGAGATGGGGTGTGACGGAGACGGGGTGACGGCGACGGGGTGACGGAGAGAGCGTTGACGGAAGAGGCGTGGACGGAAGAGGCGTTGACGGAGAGAGCGTTCACGGAGAGGCGTGGACGGAAGAGGCGTTGACGGAGAGAGCGTTCACGGAGAGGCGTGCCTCGGAGACGGGGTGACGCACACGGGGTCACGGACACGGCCAGGACGGCAAGCACGGCAAGGACGGTAAAGTACCTGCCACACCAGTAGCGGCTACACCGCCATCGGTGGCAACGAAGGAGGCGGTAAAGAACACGCGGTCAACGCGCAAGGCAGCATCTGGTGCTGGTAGGGGTCCTGGTCAGGGTGCTGCCGTAGGAGGTCAACACGAGAACGGGAAGATGGCGAACACCGAGGAGACAGAGTGTGAAGGAGAAAGAATAGTGCAGCAAGGGCGTCACGCGGTGTACGTGGTGCCTCCACGTGATGTAAGTTAAGTGAGTGACCCAGCACGGATGAGCGGGACAAAAGAATGAAAAGCACACGAAATTGTTCATAAGGTCAATTGCACATACATGTGCGCGTGTACATGCATTAACGCCGAATAATATAGTTAACACGTGCTCATGAGGACTTTTGTATGTTAATGTGTAAAACGTAGGATAGAGAATGGGAAAAGTGGAAGAAAGTGTTGCAGGAATTTACGGAACATATGGAGCAAAAAAACGAACTCAATGAAGCATATGGTGCAAACTGTTATAATAGTGGTTGGGATGATTTCGGAACGGGAAAACACCATCATCGGGGGCAAACGGTAGCAGATGTCGTTAGGTGTAGAGTTATGAGTGTTGCATGGGTCTTCGCAAATGGGTGGGGAACTACTGGGAGCGCTAACACGGACGGGGTCGAAATCACGCAGGAAGAACGGAATATGTTCAGGTGTGAAGTAGCAAATATATTTGGACATCTACTGAAGGCAAAGTATTGTCCACGGCAAAGCGGATTTAAGAGGGGTGTAGAGTATTCCCGCATAGCATTCCAGAAAATGAACAGCCCAGGGCCACATGAAGCTGGAAACATTACGGGTCCGGTTATAGAAGGTAAATGTACAGCATGTGGGTACGGCGAGTATCAAAGGTGGGCAAACGCGATAAATTTGAAAGTAGTAGAGTGGCTCATGGAGCACGCACACATAAATGAAGAAATAAAAAGAATGCAAGAGGCCATGCCATGTACCACACAATGGACACATTACATTAAGCAGCTGGACCCCCAGCACAACCCTATTAAGGACGGGGACAGAGACTGGACCAGTATCAAAGCCCATTTGAGCGCCGCAGGGAACACGACGTTAGAGACAGCAGAGAAGGACATGGAGGGAGAAGTGAAAAAGATAATTGAGAAGGTGAAGGACGCCAAAGACCAAATACTGCAGAAGGCAAAGGAGGCGTCTGCGCAAGTGCAGAAGAACGCGCAAAAGGACGCCACCGAAACGACGCGTAAGAATACGATTTGTAACACTACGAACATACGGCCGATACTGACTATGGCCGCATACGAATATACGGCCGCACACGATGCGGGCCACCACAAAAACACACGCACACGCGGCGGGAACGCAACGCACGTGAACTACGCACGTGAACTACGCACGTGAACTACGCACGGCGGCACAGCACGACGCATCCCCTTCGTTGATCTTGAGTGGCGGCCACGACGGTAGCGGTAGCTGTAGCGGGAGCAGCGACAACGATAAGGGTCGACGAGGTGTGTGTGCGATGGAGCGGCAGCGGCCACGACGGCAGCGATAGCGATAGCGGTAGCGTACCGTTCGCTTGAGCCGCGGTGTGTTGAGCGGACGCGAAGAAACGGCCAGTGTAGAGGAGGTGTGTCCGGCGGCCACGACTGTGTAGCGGCCACGAGGAGTGCAGTGTACACTGTACGGGACTTATGGCATGTATAGGATGGAGGATTTATGGAATACATAGGGGGACAATGAATGTAAGGATGGTTATGCATATAGGGAAGTAGGCATATATAGAAGGGTTGTGCATATGGGAATTATGCTTGTGGAATGTTTGGTGTAGACACATTTATTATTGCAGTCTTTAGGGGTAGTTCTAGGCGCGACAGTATGGGCAGTTCTGCGAACAGCCTTATTGGCACAATTTTATGGGCAGCTCTATGGGTACTTGTTTGGACGGTTTTATGGGCATAGTTTTATGGACCATCGCATGGATGGTTTTATGGACAGTCTACGCGTCGTGTTGTGCGGAGTGTTCTATGGGCCCTGCAGTAACCTGTGCCTTGCACAGTGTCATTAAAAAGGCCCATGGGAATTCGTCTGTACAAAAGCATGAGTAACAATGTTCTATATATATTTTTTTCCTTTTACAGGAATATAAAGTTCAGTGTTATACGAGGAGGAACCGAAGATGAAGGGGTAAAACAGACAATTTAGAAGGACGTACAATGGATGCATATATAATGCATATGCATATATGCGTGTATATGTATATTCCCAGGGAACATAGGCCACGTGCACTGTTATTATGTTCCTTCTTCGTTTTTCCACCACTGCGTTCAATTTTATCGGGTAAGACCGAACGATAAGTAAAGAGAAAGGGAAAGAAAAAAGTTTTTATTGATTTTATTTTTCCCCTAAGAGGGCCACATGTTTGTTCTTCTTCCTTTGAGATTTGTTCATTCTCGATCTGTGACACTTCAAGCTCGCCTATTTGGGCTTATTTTTTTTTTCTCGGTGCTATAAATGAAATTCCTCTATGTGATAGGCAATTTGTTGTTAGGCTCTGAGGTCCTAATAGGGCTCTCTTTTTTCTGTTTTTCTTTCTTTTCCTTTTCCTTTTTCTGCTCTTTTGTTCCCTTGTTTTTTCCTACGTCTGCCTTTTCTTTTCCTTGAGTACTAGGCTTCCCTGTTGCGCCTCCATTGTACCTGTCCATTCTCTCGGTTAAAATACTCACACCCTTGTTCCTCTTTTGGGAAATACTATCATGCGCTTCTTTGTTCAAGCGAATTAACAAATTCCGAAATGATGAGACCCATACATTTTTCCCTTTTCTCTTATCAAGAAAGTTGCTGAAGGAATTTTCACACTCCTCATGGATGCATTGCAGGTCACGCAGAAGTTCCGCTTTGCATTCTTCCCACCACTGTAACTTGTACTCATCAGGCAAAATATTGTCTTTCGCTATGCCATAAAACCACTTCTTCAGGTAGTCCATCATGTCATAGTACTCCATTTCTAAATACATCAAGTACTCAAAAAATAAAACAAATGCATTTCTTTTACTAAGACTAAAGCGCATTCTTGTCAACACTCTTAATAGCCCTTCGTTCTTGAGATCCCCTGAAAGGTCATCCTTGGTGCAATCGCCTGGGATCTTTGATTGATACATTTTCAAGATACGCTCTCTCACACTAGGATAAGGTGCCCCGTCACAGTGTTGCATTTTATTCGCTTCCTTTGGCAAAGAAGGCTTGGCAGGTTCTTTTTTTACTGGCTCTGCTACTTGTTCTTGTTGTGACGGTGGTGCTTGTTGTGGTCCTGACGGTGCAGGTGCTTCCTGTTTCTTGGGTATTACTGATGTCTGTGACTTGCCAGCAGACGCGTTTTTTTTGGGAGAATGTCTACTAGGGCTCGCCGATGCTTTATTTTGCTCTGGTGTTTGCTTATCCGTTGCACTCTTCACCGCATTGCCTCCATGCTTCTTTTCCTTCTGTTCACTTGGTGCACCATCCTGTGGGGACGGTGGCAATGACCCTGCTTCACCAACCTTCGATTTGGGTTTACCGGACTTTCCTGGCTTTTGCCCGGATGCGAGTTTTTTATCATGACCCTTACCAGGACTGAGCAGTAATGTATTAT